CCCTTCCCACCTTCACCCCACTCCCCTCCCCCACCGGTCAACGCCCACCCAATGCAAACCCGCTCTAAGGCCGGTGTTTTCTGCCCAAAACAAATTTTGGACCTCCACGCCACCACCTCCATCTCCCCTTTACCCCCAACTTATCGTAGTGCTATGAAAGATCCAAACTGGCATGCTGCTATGTGTGATGAATATAATGCTTTGTTAAAGAATGACACATGGGAACTAGTACCCCCCTCCCCCAGCCAAAACATAATCACCGGTAAATGGCTCTTTCGACACAAATTTGGCCCATCCGGTGAGCTATCCAGGTATAAGGCCCGATGGGTGGTCCGTGGATTCAATCAACGTTTTGGCGTTGACTACAGCGAAACTTTCAGCCCCGTCATCAAGCTTGCCACGGTCCGAATCATCCTTAGCCTCGCGTTGTCTCGTGGGTGGCCCATCCATCAGCTCGATGTCAAAAATGCCTTCCTCCATGGACAGCTTCAGGAAACCGTGTATGCTAGCCAACCCTCAGGATTTCAGGATGCAAATCACCCTCATCATGTCTGCCGGCTCAAGAAAGCTCTTTATGGTCTGAAACAGGCACCCCGGTCATGGTATCACAGATTTGCAGGCTTCATTCAGACTATTGGATTTCGCAGCTGCAAATCTGACACTTCTCTTTTCGTCTTCACGCATGCCTCAGGGACCGCCTACCTCTTATTATATGTTGATGATATCGTCCTCACTGCCTCCTCGCCAGGGCTTCTTCAGAGTCTCATTCAGAAACTCAAGGCTGAGTTTGCCATGACAGACATGGGTGATCTGCATTTCTTCCTCGGCATTAATGTTCATCGCACTGCTCAAGGCCTTTTCCTCCATCAGACACAGTTCACTCATGAGATCCTTGAGAGGGCAGGGATGGTCTCTTGCCGCCCCATATCCACTCCAGTCGACACCAAGGCAAAGCTTTCTTCCTCTTCCGGCACGGCACTTTCAGATCCTTCTCTTTACAGGTCCATAGTTGGTGCTATATAGTATCTCACATTCACCAGACCTGACATCACTTATGCCGTTCAACAGCTCTGCCTCCACCTTCATGCGCCCCACGACTCTCACCTCACGGCCATGAAGAGAGTTCTCCGTTATCTTAGCGGCACCGCCACTCACGGTATCTACCTGACTCGCTCCTCGACAGACTATCTCCAGGCTTATTCTGATGCTGATTGGGCTGGCTGTCTCGGCACCTGACGTTCCACTTCTGGGTACTGTATTTTTTTGGGCGAGAACCTGATCTCATGGTCTTTAAAACGCTAGGCCACCACTTCCCGTTCCAGTGCAGAGGCAGAATACCGGGCTGTGGCAAATGCAGTTGAACTCTGAAGAACCCAGGCTTTAGAAGAAGAACTCGAGGTCGTTGGTGATGCTGCGCGGTGGGAGCAGAAGACGCTGTTGCAGTCGCGGCAGATAGAGAGTAGCTTGGGTCAAGTCGTGGTCGCGTGATTCGTGCAACTTCAGCTGTATGTGAAACACGCTCTGTTTCATCGTGAGCCGGTATAGGCTCAGGAAGTGCACCCCTCTTCTTGACAGTATGCTGACATCTTCACCAAAGGACTACCTTCTCTACTCTTCCTCGAGTTTAAGTCCAGTCTGGGTATCAGACCCCCTCCTCATCCGACGTAGCCAGGATCATGTTAAATATATTCTATATTTAATGTAAATATATTGTTTCCGATTATTGTCTCCTACCTTCTATAAGATTAGGAATATATTGTTTCCTATTATTGACTCCTACCTTGTATAGGATTAGGAACTCTTGTGTATATATAGACATGTACTCCCACATATTCAATTAATGAAATTAACCTTTCTACAAACCTAGAGCCGATCTCGGAGGCAACTGAAGAGATGTGCGTGGGCTGGCTGATTTTTGTTGAAAATTAAATATATCTGTTTTTATTATTACTTTTCCGGGCGAGTCCCGAAATATAATTGGTTTGTAAACATTAAGACTTCCGCTACTATTTTTTGTTAAACTCCGATATATGTATGGTTTATTTAAATAAATTGAGATTTTAATTTATAAGCAAAAGTATGTTTGGATACCATTTTGGTGACAACCCGGTTCGGATAGCTCGTGGGTACGGGTTATTCGGGTTGGGGTGTTACAGAGTGAGAGCAAAGAAGATGAAGAGAGTGAGACAAGTGAAGATCAGATATTATTCTTGGTAGTGAAAGAGGTATAGTAGGCCGAGTAGCACTATGTAATGAGGGGTGGGGTGATTAATTGTGTGAGTGGCGTGAATTGAGTGGAATAAATGTCATTTAGGTAGCGTTCCAGAACTACAATTTCATTTCAATTCTTGCATTTTAATTCTAAAATTTGAATTCTTGAATTTCAAATAACAAGGGGGAGGTATATAGATTACAAATTGAGCTTTGTTATGAATGAGAGGAATTTCTCTCAAATCCAATCCAAATTCTTTAAAGTTTCCAAACATGAAATTTAAGCCAAATTTGGATTTGAAATCTAAATCCAAGTTCTCAAACATACCATTAGTGTATTTTTAGCTTTTTTGGGAAACTAAAAAAAGAAAGATAATGAATAACTTTGAAGAAAAATGAGAAAAAAATATAATGGGACAGGTTTCAAAAAAACTTTGAAACCTCAAATTACATAGAAATCAACTAAAATATTGAGAAAGTACCGAAATAGAAGTAGCATGTTTTTAGAGTAAATTCTTTAAATGATCCATTATAACTGGGTTTTCCATATTTAATCCATTATTATCAGATATTATTATCGCAGTCCATTTTAATTGAGATCATTTCTTTTTTTAGTCCTCCGTCAATGAAAGAATTGAGGATTCTGCAATTGGGGTTTAATTGGAACAATTGATGGCTCCCCCATGGTCGTACATGCATTGCGAGGTTGCTGGGAAGGGTGAGCGACCATAGTGTCGGCAGCGGTGGCCGGAATTGCAGCAGACCCGTCGAGAAGCCCGAAACGGGTCGTGAGTGATTTACAGTGACTCCGACGTCCAAAATTGATGAGGCCGGTTGCATTGGGTTTGTATGGACGTGTGGGAGCTTTTGGGACTGAACGCCACCATGAAACCCAGCTATCCGTCAGTTTGCTTTGACGGATCTTTGATAGAGGACCAGAAAAGGAAATGATCCTAATTAAAATGGGTTACGGAAAAAATATATGATAATAATGTATTAAATATGGAAAACCCCCAGTTATAATGGATCATTTAAAGAATTTACTCATTTTTTATTACCAAAATTGAAGTTATACTTGTGATGATGTGGCATTGTACATGAGCATTCTATAATTTTTTTTGACATGATATATTGACACAATTAACATTGTATATGTATTTTTACTCCTATTTTGAGAATACAAATATAGAACTCTTATTTTGGTATATTTTCTATGTTTTATTATTTTGGTATTATACCCATTTTTTAAGGGTAGTGCTAAAACCCACCACCAATGCCCCCACCCATTATTTTATAACTACACAGACAATAATCGTCTGTATTATTCACAGACGATTAGAGATGTCAATTTTTATCTGATTCGATGGATAACTGATTCACCCGATCTGCCTTCACAAATAAAAACCCAAAACAAAAAGGGTGGTGGACAGATGTGAATGAAGATATTTCTCACTCGTTACCCGTTCCATTACCCGATTCATTCATATTTATCATAAAAAAACTTAAAATTGAAAATATTACCTTTGTTGAGTACATAAGTTTGTTCTTTTTTCCAATATTCCAATCTGTAAAAGCCAAGTTTGTAATTTAGAAGATTGTTACTTTGTAAGATTTTATCATAAACATTATTAATCTCTTAGTTTTCTAAGATTTTTTTGGTATTATAGGCATCATAACTTTTTCGTTTTATGAGATTAATGATTAAAAAATTATCATTTATATCTCCCGTTTTCATCCACTTCACTCGCGGATGATATATGGATCGGGTGATGGATTTTGTATGTAGAGTCTATGGATGGATGAGGGTGAAGCTCCACCCGAGCAAAACTCGATCCGTTGACATCTCTACAGACGATTATTATTTGTGTAATTTTAAAATCGTCGGTGAGGACGTGAGAGCATTAGTGGAGGCATTGGTGGTGAGTTTGTAACACAACCCTTTTTTAATATCACAATGAGTAATGTTACACCCACCCCATTTTATACTCCACTCCACCATCCACTAGGGGTGGACACGGTACGGTTCCGGTTCCGGAACCGCTGGTTCCGGTACCGCCACCCCATGTCACCGGAACCGTCACCGTCACCGTGCCGGCCGGTACCGGTTCCGGTTCTGGTTCCCGGACCGGCGCTTCCGGTACCGGACCGGCCGGTTTCGCCCCCTCTATTTTTTTTGCTTTTTTTAAAATTTTTAAAGTATAAAATTGTAAATTTGCAATTGTTTAAGGAAAGAATGAAATAAAAAATCTAAAAATGTAGTTGTTATTTAAATATTTTAAATGAATAACACACTAAATGAAGAACAACCACATTTAATATCCTGACGGTTCAAAAAAGTGACGAGGTAAAGAACCGTAAAGAAACCCTCGAAGGAGCTTATATATGGCTCACCTAAAAATAACTAATTACATATTTACATTAACATAAAAAAATTATAAGTTATTTTTCAGAACTCGGACTTCCATCTGTTGTTTCATTCATGTAATGCTCCGATTCGAGTTGGTACGATGACTCTTGAGCTCGACGTCTTGCCAAGAGCCAATCTTGGTTGCAAACTAGTGTTTCAAGAGATTCAGCGCTAAGACAACTTCGAAAGTCGGTTAGAATGTTGCCGCCAGCACTCTTAAGAGCAAGTTGACGATGCCAACTATGGCCTTGCCTATTGTGAACAGAACGATCGTACGGCTCTGTACCCTTGTACACAAGCAAGGCGAAGGTGGTAGGCTCGTGCAGTTTTAGGTGCAGCAGCAGTAGCAAATCGCATGGCACACCCTGGTACATAGCAAGTTCGTTGTGCGAGCTTACTGTTGTACCACTTGAATTCGTCGAAGAATGAGCACGCTTTCCTTTCTTTTCAAGAAGACGACCGACTATTCCGGCAAAACCTTTTTTTGATTTCGGGGGTGGATGTGGTGCTGTTTCTTCTTGTACAGTGCCGTATAACCCTTGATATTCCTCAAACAAATTCTCAAAAAAAGTTATAGCATTATCTCTTTCTTTTTTCCATTCTATTAAAAGACTGTAGTAATAACTATTTTCATCTAAAAAACAACTGTAGTAATACTCAACTAGAATTTTAAAATTTTCAATCTTAAAGTGTGGATCACAAATAATACCTATTTTATAAATATCAGGAATGTACAAATAATAAGCACATCATTTATCTCTCTAGGAGAGACATAAGGGTACAAATCCGAATCAGCCATACTTTCACGAAAACATGTTGCGATTGTAACGCACTCTTTAAAAAATGCATTTGTAGTTGGTTGGTAAACATGAGAAAAAGTAAGAGTTGCGTTATTAAAAACTTCTAATACGCCATTCAATTTTTCAACAATAACAAATTCAAAAGGATCAATGATTATACGAAGTTCATCCCTAAAAAATTCAGCAAGTTCCTCTTTATATCTTAGAATCTGATCAATTAATTTGTAAGTACTATTCCATCTAATGTTGATATCTTTGGCAAAAACTATTTCTTTTTTACCCTTAGACTTATAGAACATCTTCCAGGACCTCGAAACAAGACGAGCCCCCCAAATTCTTTTAATTCCTTCTTTAATATTCGTCAAAACTCCGCCCATAGCTTCTAGTCCTTGTTGAACACATAAATTTAAAACATGACAGGCACACCGTTGATGCAGAAATCTACCCATAGACGTAGACGGTGGGCAAATTTCTCTAAGTCTAGGAATAGCTGCAGTATTATTAGTAGCATTATCAAAACCAAATGAAAACAGTTTTTCAGATAAGTTGTATTTCCGCAGAATACTCTGAATCAATAGGAAAATATTTTCAGCAGTATGGTGTTCATTGAAATCACGAAATGCAAGAACACGTTTATGCATAATGCAATCACTATCTATCCAATGACAAGTAACACCCATATAAGACAAATTATGATAAGTTTCACCCCAAATATCAGAACAAATAGCAACACCAGAATTAAAATTGAGAAAAAAATTTGCCAAATTTATTTTTCCAATTTTATACTAACGAATAATTTCTCGTTTAATTGTTTTTCTTGAAAAACCTCGTGCTTGAGGGTTTAATGCATGTTGACAATAATCAATAAATCCAAGTTTTTCAGAAAACATGTATGGAAAATTTTCTTCACAAATCTATTCGCCCATTTTTTGCTTATTTTGCTCGTCGCTATAAGCAAAAAGGCCGCCCTTACCTCTGTTAGCAAACCGAGAAATTTGGGTTTGCACTTCTTGTCGTCCCTTCTTTTTTGCCTCGTATTTGGCGTACTCCACGGGATGTCTCGACCTTAGGTGTTTTTTCGGACCGCCATAACCGCTGGAAACTCCCATTTTTATGTAATTCATTATTATCAGATATTATTATCGCAGTCCATTTTAATTGAGATCATTTCTTTTTTTAGTTCTCCGTCAATGAAAGAATTGAGGAATCTGCAATTGGGGTTCAATTGGAACAATTGATGGCTCCCCCATGGTCGTACATGCATTGCGAGGTTGCTGAGAAGGGTGAGCGACCATAGTGTCTGCGACGGTGGCTAGAATTGCAGCAGACCCGTCGAGAAGCCCGAAACGGGTCGCGAGTGATTTACAGTGACTCTGGTGTCCAAAATTGATGAGGCCGGTTGCATTGGGTTCGTATGGACGTGTGGGAGCTTTTGGGACTGAACGCCACCATGAAACCCAACTATCCGTCGATTTGCTTGGACAGATCTTTGATAGAGGACCAGAAAAGGAAATGATCCTAATTAAAATGGGCTACGGCAAAAATATATGATAATAATGTATTAAATATGGAAAACCCCCAGTTATAATGGATCATTTAAAGAATTTACTCATGTTTTTATTCTCAAAATAGAAGTTATACGTGTGATAATGTGGCATTGTACATGAGCATTCTATAATATTTTTTGACATTGTATATTGACACAATTAACATTGTATATGTATTTTTACTCCTATTTTGAGAATACAAATATAGAACTCCTATTTTGGTATATTTTCTATATTTTATTATTTTGGTATTATACCCATTTTTTAAGGGTAGTGCTAAAACCCACCACCAATGCCCCCACCCATTATTTTACAATTACACAGACAATAATCGTCTGTATTATTCACAGACGATTAGAGATGTCAATTTTTATCTGATTCGATGGATAATTGATTCACCTGATCTGCCTTCACGAATAAAAACCCAAAATAAAAAGGGTGGTGGACGGATGTGAATGAAGATATTTCTCACTCGTCACCCGATTCATTCATATTTATCATAAAAAAACTTAAACTTAAACTTAAAATCTCTAGAAGAACTCACGAAGTACCTTTGTTGAGTACATAAGTTTGTTCTATTTTCCAATATTCCAATATGCAAAAGCCAAGTTTGTAATTTAGAAGATTGTTACTTTGTAAGATTTTATCATAAATATTATTCATCTCTTAGTTTTCTAAGATTTTTTTGGTATTATAGGCTTCATAAGTTTTTTGTTTTATGAGATTAATGATTAAAAAATTATCATTTATATCACCCGTTTTCATCCGCTTCACTCGCGGATGATATATGGATCGGGTGATGGATTATGTATGTAGAGTCTATGGATGGATGAGGGTAAAGTTCCAGCCGAGCAAAACTCGATCTGTTGACATCTCTACAGACGATTATTATCTGTGAAGTTTTAAAATCGTCGGTGAGGACGTAGAGCATTGGTGGTAAGTTTGTAACACAACAGTTTTTTAATATCACAATGACCCTACCCTATCATTTTTCTATCCCAATTGCCTTATAAGCACCGCAGACACTATTCCTTAGGTTCATCTCTCGATCTCCATCTTCGTCGTCTCGTCTCTCTCCTTGGTTACCTGAGGTATCCGTCGCAGCGTCGTCAACTCTCCTTCCACTCTTTCACATCATCCAGTTGTCCACTCGTCGCTGCCTTCGCTGTTGGAGGTCGCCGCAACGCTGCCTGGGATCTGTCTATTATTGGTTACTCACCGGCGTCGATTCGTTGTTGCAGGTCTTTTAATTTGAGTAAATGGTGTTGTTGACTTTTTAATAATATTCCAGAAATTTTGGGCATTGGCCGGCTTCTTCTTGATATTGTAGATTTGGTTATTGGTTGTGTATCTTCATGTGTTTTGTAATAATTACCAGGAATATTTCTTAATTAATTGTTGGTTCTTCAATTTTGTCAGTTTCAATTCTATGAATGTTTTGTCTGAATTGTTTCGTTCCACCTATCACGGTTTTTGTTCTAATTTAGTTGAGTAAAATAGTTTGTATGTAATATTGCTGATTGTTGGCTGGAGTTGGTTTGAAAGTGTTTTTTGAATTTGGATGTTTGTGTCAGATTGTGGGTCATTGTTTAGTTATTTCTTCATAAAAAATATTTTTTTATTATCCCTCATTAGAGTGATTGTACAAAGAGAAAGAGTTGGAGCGAGTACTCTTGGTGGAGGAGAAGAGGAGGGTCAATAATGAAAAAGAGAAAGGGATGAATCAACAAAAACAAGCCAAGGAAGCTTATGAAGGCATCAAAAAGAAAGATATCAAGAAGGCACAGAATAAGAAGGTATGTTGTTTTATATTCAGCTAGGTTTCTCCATGGGTAGTCTAAACCACTTGTATGCACACTCTAAAATGTGAATTGAAGCAGGACCAAAATGGTGGGGAAAAAGAATGAAAGATGAGAAGATACTAGTGCGGTCGCATGCTATTCAAGCACAGGTGGATGATGATGGCAATAATACAAGTCGGATTCATTCTATAAGAACCGAATTTCACATGATGAATCTGAAAGGGAATGAACTTGACCGGTGTTGCTTTCCTTCTCTCTATTTTTTGGGTTCTATGGTTGTTTCGGGCTCTCATGTCTACATTGTTGGTGGTCTTGATACTTCTGTTGACCACTTGGTTCAAAAACCGGGAGAGCATTTGTATTTGGGTGGGGCTTGTCTTGATTTGGACTCCTCTCATCTGGGGCTTGGGTGGAGTCGGGTTCCAATCCCTAATGTGGATCGCAGGGTTCCTTTTTGTGCTGCCCTTAATGGAAAGATATACAGTTTTGGGTTCTATCGTCCTAGTCCAGAGGTTTATGATCCTGCTGTTGGGGACTGGACATTTTTCTCTGCACCTTTGCCTTCTCATCTTGCTCGTTCTCAAGTACTTTATTGTGTGCTTCCTGACTCTGCCAACAACCGCATCCTTTTGCAGTTGTCCGGTGGTGACCTCGTCGAGCCTTCCCTATACGCCTTCTACCCAGACGGAAGCAGTGGTACTCCCTCCCTCTTCAAATGCTATCTTTTGTTTGTTGCGACATTCAACATTTGTCTGTAGCATTATAGTTTCTTTAGCAAATTAAAGCCATGAAATAAGCAGAGACAGACTAGCTCTTACTGTGAGATGAGATGGAGATGGCTGATGGTCAGAATAGTAGCTGAATTGCATGAAAAAAGTTGTAAAATTTTGTTACTTTGAAAAGGCATTGGTCTTCATGTTAGTGGACATGAAGCACGCCATATGGTGGGGGGTTACGCCATGGCATTTCAAACATTGTCATTGAGTCCTAGGTGTTTGTTTCAGATATTTCATGTTCATATGGTTGGTTACGCCATGTCATTTTGAACTTTTCATGTTCATGTTCATAACAATATTGGAGTATTGGAAAGCTGGAATCAACCTCATAACCACTTCTCAATAACTGCATACCTTGTAGTTCTAATGATTCTTGAACCATAGAAGACAGAATTGAACCAATAAAATGATGTTTCACTGCAGGTCCTGCTGCAAGGACGGATGCCGGTCCCTGTAGATCACCTGCTATTTGTGTTCATATACCGTGACTGGTTTGTTGTTCCTGGGATCACCTACTATTCTTGAGCTTGTACTGCTCCTGGCTGGTCCATGAGCTTAGATGTTGGCTATAAGTTATCTTGTATCTAGACTTGTTATTTGGAAAAGGATGACTTGGACAATCCTACGATGTTAAATGGTATCCCTTAGGATGCGAGAGAGAGAGAGAGAGCGAGATCTTGCATCTCTTAGATTCTCTAATAATTTGGGACCAGGCAATACCAATTAGGATCTGTTTTGTGGGGAGGGGCGGGGCTCCCCCTTGTTTGCAACTCACGAGCATAAACCTCTCCCCTTTTTTATCCTCTTCAATTTTTCTTTATCCTGTTTTTTCTTTCTTTTGATTATTTGATCAATTCTTAACAAACTCTACCTTGATTTAGTAATTAGGAAAAATTATCCAAAATAATCCCAACTTTACCCGGTCTTTCAAAAATAATCCAACCTTTCAGTGTAATGTATAATAATCCGAACTTTACTGAATTTTGCAAGTTTTGGGTCGCCTTTAAGTTTCTAACGGAGGGTTAATGGAAATGTCTGTTTTGGGTAACAAAATGAAAGCTGAGATTATTTCTGATGAATTTTCATGTTTTTTTTTGAATTTTTCATTTAAATTTTTAAAATTACTTTCTACCTCCATCATCACTTCTCTTTCCTTTTTTAAAGATTAGTCTTAGTTTAAAAAAAATAAATATAATAGATATGAAAAAATAAAAAAATGAGAAATGTAACTAGAATGATACAAAAATAATAAAATAAATAACGTAATCAATAGAAACTAACTTGAAATTGGTAATAAATAAAATAAAAATATACGGGTGGGTTTTAATATTTTATGCACTATACAAAGTACTAATGTATCACTTCTTATTTTTTAGAAAAAAATTATCTACAATAATTATAACTGTATCGGACGGCTTGTTCTTTTAAAAAATAAGTAGTACATTAAGACTTTGTATAGTGTGTAAAATGTTTAAACTCACCACTCCGTATCTGTTTATTTTATTTTTTACCAGTTTCTGTTTAATTATATTTCTATTAATTACATTATTTATTTTATTAATTTTGTATGGTTTTACTTATTTTTCTCATTTTCATTGTTTTTTATATCTATTTTTTTTAGTTTTTCTAAGGTAAGAATAATCTTTAAAAAAGAAAAAGAAATGGAGGTTGAAATTAATTCCAAAAAATTAAATAAAAATTTCAAAAAAAATTAAAAAACAAAATTCATCAAAAATAATCTCAACTTTCATTTTGTTGCCTAAAACAAGCATTTCCGTTAACCCTCGGTTAGAAACTTAACGGCGACCCAAAATTCGCAAATTTCAATAAAGTTGGGATTATTATGCATCACACTAAAAAGTGGGATTATTTTTGAAAGACTGGATAAAGTTGAAATTATTTTAGGTAATTTTCCTAGTAATTAAAATCTATGTAGCTCCATTTCATATGTGAGTCGTGGCTTCATATCAATTATCTCACCAAGATCACTACCACTCCTGAAGAAGAATCTGCATAACGCCCCCTCAATTAACTCAACGCGATCACTATTACATGAAATTTCCTGTAACCCCGTCATACTATGTTCTCCGTGGCTCCACGTTGTTCACTACACGGTCTTAGTCACTTCCTATCGTCGATTGTTCTCTTCATATGATCTGATGATATGATGATATAAAGTTATAATTTGTTTTGATCTGATCAACTATCTTGTTATAGAATTATTAGTGTTCAAAAAACTATTGGATTAACATGGTAAATGGTGGGGATTGATGATGGAAAAAAAGCCACTTCGTTTCGAGGCAAAATTAAATTTTGATTCAGCCTAATTTACTATTTTTTCTCCTCTCCAATTTTGTTGACTTCATAATGGAACAATATTGAATCAACTTTAAAAAGGCTACACTAAAGTTCACGAAAAGATTTTAAAAAACGGTCCTGCTAGGGGTACACCACAATGTACCCCATATTGCACACCATGTCACCATATACCCCCACTCCCCTACCTCTACTTTTCCTTTCCTACAATCCACTCCCTCCCACTTTCTCCCTCACTACTATGTCCAATCTTTTTCTCAATTTTCTCATTCATTAATCATCTTTGCTTTCTAAATTTTCCTTCTTCAATCACCTACTGTCGGCACACCTTCCTTGATGATCGTTTGTCCCCATGGAGGCAAATCTAAGGTCGTAAGAATGGGAATCTGACTTCATCGTCGGACTAGATATCGGAGTGCACCAGTAGACTCAAAACCTGACTTCATTTTCAACTCGCAAGATTTGAAATCCGAGTCCGTCGTCAAACTGCTCTTCATCTGGTCATAGATTCTTCTCACACCAATTCATCAAATTTCTGAGGTGAAGAAGTGTGTGTGTTGCAATGGATCTAGAACATCCGATGTCCCCTACCTTAGCAAGTAAGTTACATTAGACCCTTCCTTTGGAAAAAGTTGAGGTTGGGGAGAAGGTCATCATCCCGATTGAGGGATATCCTTCTCTTGAGGAAGACTGGGGGCATTGCTTAGTGGGCTGCTTCACGGGCCGTTTCCCGGGCATCAAAGCCATAGAGGATCTCATTACCTCATGGGGCGTACAATGTAAGCTCCTCCCTCACGAACGGGGCTGGGTCCTTTTCCAGTTCCTTAGTGATGAAGACCGAAGGATTGTTCTCCAAAATGGGCCTTACCAGCTCTTTGGTAAGACTCTATTACTTCGCATTCTTCCGGAGGACTTTCGCTTCAACTTTGATGCCTTCATGACGGTTGATGTGTGGGTTAAGTTTGTTAACGTCCCATTGCGATGTTCAAATAAAATTGCACTTCAATGTTTGGGGTCGAGAGTGGGAACCCCCAAGCGGACTGACCAAGGTACAAAGAGACGGGGGAGGATTAGTTTTTGCAGGATGTTGATCCAGGTGGACATGTCTAAAGAGCTACCTACCTCCTTTGAGGTTAGCCTACCAGATGGGGGCACTTACATCCAGAAGGTTGTGTATGAGGGCCTCCCAAAATATTGTTTTCATTGCAAGAAATTTGGGCACAACCTTCTAGATTGTAGGGTTCTCCGGGCCCTTCGTCTCAGAAAAAACAGGGATTTTGTTGGCAAAACGTCCAAGCGCACGATGGGGAAAGGTAAGCACGTTGTTGAGGGTGATAATTCCACTACCTCTAGTGGTCAAACCTCCAACAAAACAAGGAGAAACCAGGCTGGAAACACTGCTGTGGCAGGCACAGAGGCCACTGCCAGCGTTGCTGCCAGGCCCAAAACAGCATCCCAGTCCCTGCCTCCCAAACCTGCTGCCGTGCCTAGTGTGCTGGATGAGAGTGGCGCTGAGGGGAACTGCCCAGGACCTACTGCCAAGCCCGTGGAAGAGGGTAATATCCTGGTCCCTGAAGCAAACCAGAAGAAGAAGAAGAAAAACGGTGAAACACCAAGCAAAGCTGCGAATGTTGAGCTACCTTGTGCCGAACCCCGAACATCTTTGAAAGCTGTGGATGGGTTGAATAAAGACCAAACCACCAGCAAGAAGGGGGATCAACGCAGGGGGAAGGCCAAACAATCAGCTGGCCTTGAGGACATCAACCACGGTCTTGACGCCGGTCCCTCCTCCACGACGCCAAAGGATATTGCCGCTGCCATTCCAGTGGCTAAAACTGCTGCACCTACGGCTGGACAGGGGGACACACCAGTGCTGTCAAACGCTGGTAAGGAAGGCAATGCAACACCCAAAGATGTACCCAAGGCATGGAAACCGCCGTTCAAGGCATTGAAGCCTCCCAAATCTGATAGCCCTGATTTCATGCGGCTTTGGAGGGAAAAAAAGGAGCTTCTTGATGGGGAAAACAAAAAGATTGCGGACAACCATAATGTGCATAAGGAACTAGCCGTTTTCAACACAAAACACTATGGGAGACCGGAATGGTGAACCATCTACGTTTCCTATTGTATTGTGCTAGTTAATGCTTATTCCTTGATCTTGACACGAGTTGTCTTTGATTTTATAGGGGTATGCCCCGGTGCATTGTATGTTTACTTTGTGATTGTACTTTGTAATGACTCTTGGATTTTAATAATTTACATTTTATCCTAAAAAAAAGTTACATTAGACCCTGTTGTAGTAGTTCATTATTTCAATGTTGTGTGATATCTATTATGAACTTGTGATTCATATTGCAATATAATCGTTAATACACTACCGATGAAAGAAGTTATAGAACGGTGATGCCGTTCACGAAAGTAATGGACGAAGTATAAAGATAAACACCGGAAGGGTCTTAAGGCAAGTGCCCAGTTGTGAAAGTAATAGAATGAAGTTCATAAGGTTAGTCGGTACACTTGTTACGACTCGGGACCGGGGGCCTCACCCAGGGTTTAAAACGTACGTACGGGTTTCCTATAACTACCGATCTAGACATTTGAGGTAGGGATTCCAACCCGCCCAACGGCTTAGCACCCCGTTGGTTGGTCACGCCACTTTGCAGAGCTACGTGACCCATCTCGCCACATAAACAAAGAGAGTAAAATAATAAGTGTTAGGACGAGTGTCCTAAACAGGTAAGGCACGGTGTGCCCAGAAATGAAGCCGATGACAGGTACGCACTGTATATGTGACTATGTGTGATCTGTATATGAATACTTATTATTATGCATGAACAAAATACTCTCAAGCAAGATTATGTGTTATGTGTTATTTGCCCCTACGTTAGACATCCTTGTACTCAGGTAGTGTTGTATGTTGGAGTTGTGCCCTGATGGCAAACTGTTTATCGTTATTCTATCGTGTATAGGCAGATATAATATGTTTACACATCTCATGCTAATGTAAACAAATATTATATTCCTAGATTTATATTTAAAGATGTTTATCAGATACTGTTATTCTGCTGATGAGACTAACATCTTGAAATAAATATTTATCTAAATGTCCATAGTCGAGTATTAACGAGAGTGGGATATCGTTAATGCATGTGAGACTAGTGTGTGTTGGATGTTTGACTTAGTCTCATAGTCAATGACAGTGTGTTCGCATCCGCACATGGGCAGATATTATCTAGAGATAATAGGATGCCGGACTGACCCATCCTAAAGATGTTGCTTGAACTTTTNGATGAGACTAACATCTTGAAATAAATATTTATCTAAATGTCCATAGTCGAGTATTAACGAGAGTGGGATATCGTTAATGCATGTGAGACTAGTGTGTGTTGGATGTTTGACTTAGTCTCATAGTCAATGACAGTGTGTTCGCATCCGCACATGGGCAGATATTATCTAGAGATAATAGGATGCCGGACTGACCCATCCTAAAGATGTTGCTTGAACTTTTAGTTCATGCTATAAGCATCTTTAGCGCGACCACGTTTGTAACTATCCTTCGACTTGAAGTATTACGTTTTCTGCATATGTGAACCCGCATACTTTGATGCATTGTCCTAAGCCATATGAAATAAGGATGGTATATAGGCTTTATTTTGGGTATGCCGCAGCGCGTATTCAGAAACGTAGATTACATACAAAGGATTTGTCACTACTCTTTTAAAAGAGATTCATGTCTTATGGGGCCCATTGAGAAGCTATGAGTGAGGATATTGCATGGCCATGTTGAGATGTTTTTATGACATCTGTTCCTATCAGTCAGACTTGATAAATCAGTGAATGACTTAATGGATACAAGTTGGATTTTATTAATCCCTTGCATTAAGTTTAGACATTGAGACAAAGGGATACAGTTACACGTAGTCTGAGTCGTGGGAAGGTTTTGACGGTGTAATCGTCTTAACTTATAATCTGGGGGCAATAATGTGTTGCTAGATACCGCTTATTGCTTTTAGTATTGGTGCAGAGCCAATACTGTGGCCAGTTTTATAAGTGCCTATACGGGTCACACACTTTGGACAATTTAAGGAGTAGGATTAAACAATGGGATAATAAGTAATTTGTATATTTGTAAAACAAAATATTTTGGAGTATAATATATATTATATATACAGTTTATATATATATATATATATATATGATAACACTGAAATATATATATAAATATATTATATTTTGAATATTTTATTTTGGTTTGTCATTTTAATTATGAAAATAATTATTTTGACATAAACTAATTGAAGTATATTTTATACTTGTTTAAAATGATAATGATATTTTTATTTGATTTAAAAATAATTTAATATTAATTTTTGGCCATATGAGGATTTAATGAATCAAAATTATGTCTTGATTGATTCTTGAGTGGCTAAATTGATTTGTCATTTAGCTTATCACAAAATCAATTACTAATCATACTTTATTTAAAAGGACTTTTCGGCCAACATTATTTCTTGAGAGAGAAAAATTCTTTTGTGTTCCATTAATATTATTTTGTTTATAGAAAATATCTATAATATTTTCTAAATATTATTAGAAATATTTTCAATAGAAATATACAAGATTATTATTATCCCAAAATTTTAAACTTTATATTTTATACTACTATAATCTTACTAGCATAAAGATTGTGGTAGACTCCGGCGTTGTTTGTGTGTCAAAGTTGGAGACCGGACGCTTGAACGGTTATGTTTGCACTTTCAACGCTCTTCCTACGACTTCTTCGTTTTTACCGCTTACGGAGAAAAGTATAAATTTCTTATCACTATAAGTTTTAGTACATGATTCTGGGTAAGATAATCATGTTAGGATGTTAAAATTTTTATATTCCGCTGCTTATGCTTGCATGGTTACCTTTAAGTGGTATCAGAGCCAACGTACAAAAATATAGTTTTACGTTTGACTTTTAAAATTTTCAAAGTCAAAGCTTTAACTTGGTAATTATTAAAATTCAAAAATTGGTAAAATAATTTTATTTAGTCTTGGAATAAGTATTGGACTTAAATAAATCATTGAAAATGAATTTTAAATTTATTTATTTTATTTCTACCCGTAATATATATATATATATATATATATATAAATATATATATATATTTTGATTTTTCGAAATATATATTTATATATTTTATAGAACTAGTAAATATAATTTTATTTGGACATAAAACATCATTTTATGATTGATAAAATTATATTGTAATTTTTAAATGTATTATTTCCTAATTTGAATTTACTGTATTTATTTAGGTGAAAACTGAAAATAAATATGGGAAAATTCAAAATGAACTTTATTAAACTTGGAAATATTATTTCTAAGTTGAATAAGGTTGTTGATAAATATATTGTACAAAATAATAATAGTTAGTAATTAAATAAATATATATTTATATATGTACTCGGTATTATTACCGAAATATTATATATATTTATATATTTTTATTTTAATTACATAAATGACTAATATATATTTTGCAAATTTATATCTCAGTAAGAAAAAGAATGTTTTTCAAAAAAAATTTAAATGGCTTTTTATAACTTATTGAGATTTAACTAATATATTTCGGAAATAATGATTTATAAATTTTGGAAATTTTATTTCCAGGTTTATAAATTTTGAAAATAATTACTGGAAGTTGAAATTTAATTTTCATGATTTTTGAAAAATTTTTCGGAATTAAATTGCCTTTTGGAATATAATTTTGCAAAAAGGGCATTCTGGTCATTTGGAATATTCTGGATTTTTTATGCTGGAAGAATATCCAGAGTATATAAAATGATTTTATAAAATTTTATTAGATTTATTTGGACATCTAATTTAAGTTTATGAGTTTTAGAAAATATTTACTGCCGTAGTATTTTTCTAGAACTGTCTGGGGTGAGCGCGGTTCAGCCGGTGTATGTAAATCTCCATTGCTTGTGTACATGGATGTATGATATGCATGGTGGATGATTGTGTCTATAGTTTATTTGATTATAATACGGCCTGCGTGTCGTGTCTTATCTCTTAAACTCTTGTTGTAAATCTATTTCTCTCTCTTACCTCAACTGAGGATTCTTTTCTCACGTGGTGGTTAGAAGATGAAAAGATTTGATGACCGTTTGGAGAAATCTAAAAGAATGGAGATAGCCCGAAGTTCATGTGACCGGAAGCCAGTAGGAGCTATCGTTTTATTTTTTTAGGGGCCACAAATCATTACATGTTTATTTACTGCGTTTTGTGAATGGTGTCCTGGTCCGATTGTAGTAATATTGTTCGCCCAACACCAGACCAAGAGCTGAGAGCTCGGCTCATGAGTTGGAACTATGTTCCTACCTAAATAGTTGTCTTGTGGAGTAACGCCCAAGCGGAACGCAAGATAATGAAATATGGATCTTGGCCCACTATCGAGGGTTATTGATTTGTTAAAAACAGTGGGAGATAATTAATTAAAGGCCTAATTAGTTATTAAACATGATAGATAACCTAGTTTGCAAAATTTTCTTGTAGATGGCAAACAACAACAACCCTTTCAACCTGCGATATGTTCTTGAAAAGGAAAAATTATCTGGAACTAACTTTCTTGATAAGAAAATGAATCTTAAGATTGTTCTCGAATGCGAGAAAAAGCTCTACGTCCTAACATCTGAGCCTCCCAAAGCTCCTGAAGGGAATGCCCGTGCTGCAAAAATTACTTCGTACAAGAAGTATGAAGATGACGCACGTGATGTGAGATGTCTTATGCTAGCCACCATGACCCCGGAGCTCCAAAGGCTCCACAAGGACATGGAAGCTCATCCTATGATGACTCGCTTGAAAGGTCAATACCAAGCCGAGGCTAGCATTAGCATTTCAAAATCTCTACGACTCTGTTTTCTAGTAAGCTGGCAACGGGTAACCCAGTTGGTCCCCACGTTCTCAAGATGATCGATCAGATCGAAACTCTTGAAAAACTGGATGCCCCGTTGCACCCTATGCTGGTAACTGATCTCATCTTGGGATCATTACCAGCTGAGTATAGTCAAACTCTAGTGAACTTCTACATGAACAAACTAGAGATGACTATGCCTGAGCTACTGAAATTCCTCACAACTGCTGAGGAGAGTCTACGGAAGGGCAAGGGTAAGTCTGTCCTGATGGTAGAGGGCAGTACTGTTGCGAAGAAGAGTGGGCCACGTTCGCCAGTCGTGACCAAGCGCAAGGGTTCTAAGAAACCCAAGCCAGCGTCCAACTCCTCTTCGTTGAAACCCAAAGAAGGAGTTAAGAAGAAGTCTGATGTATGCTATTATTGTGGCAAAAAGGGCCACCGGAGGCGCAACTGCGCAACATTACTGGCAGAGTGGAAAGAGGGAAAGAAACCTCAAACCCAGGTATCTTCGTTATTGAAGTCAATATGTCTGATATCACCTCTTGGGTGATGGATACTGGATGTGGTTCTCACATCTGTACTTCTATGCAGGATCTGTATGAACGTAGACAATTGACGGAGAGAGAGATACAACTAAAAGTCGGCAATGGCGCACTCGTAAATGAATTAGCCGTCGGAACCTATAGTTTATCTCTACCTAGTGGTCTAGTATTGCAGTTAAATAACTGTCTATTCGTACCTAGTATGAGCAGAAACATCATTTCTGTATCCTGCCTTGACAAAGCAGGATTTTCATTCGTTGTAAAAGACAAAACTCTTTCTGTCTTTAGAAATGAAATATTTTATGCAACTACAAAAATGACAAACGGTCTCTATGTCCCCGACATGGATACCGCAGTATATAACGTAGATGTTAAGAGAAACAAACCTAACAGTTTGAATCTCGCGTACCTTTAGCATTGTCGTTTGGGCCACATTAACAAGAAACGCATATCTAAGTTACATCGCTTAGGTGTACTTGATTCATTTGACTTCCAGTCATATGATGTATGTAAATCTTGTTTACTTGGTAAAATGACAAAGGCTCCATTCACCGGTCACGGTGAAAGGGGGAGTGACTTATTGGGCCTCATACACTCCGATGTCTGTGGTCCAATTAGCACTATAGCTAGAAGTGGTTATTCTTACTTCGTTACATTTACTGACGACCTTAGTAGATATGGATATGTGTATCTCATGAAACATAAATCAGAATGCTTTGACAAATTCAAGGAATTCAAGAACGATGTAGAAAAACAATTAGGGAAAAGTATTAAGACCCTCCGCTCGGATCGAGGAGGTGAATGCTTAAGCCTGGAGTTCGATGACTATCTGAAAGAGCATGGGATCTTATCCCAACTCACTCCTCCAGGGACACCTCAGTTAAATGGAGTGTCTGAGAGGAGAAATCGGACTTTGCTAGACATGGTCCGAAGCATGATTAGTCTGACAACATTGCCAGAATCATTTTGGGGATATGCATTGAAAACAGTAGCATACACACTCAACAGAGTTCCATCTAAAGCTGTCGAGAGCACACCATACGAACTATGGCATGCGAGAAAACCGAGTTTCTCGTACTTTAAGATTTGGGGCTGTGAAGTTTATGTAAAACGTAAACGTCTCATGACGTCTAGTAAGTTGGAGCCTAAATCTGATAAAGTAATTTTTGTGGGATACCCCAAGGAAACTAGAGGGTATGAGTTCTATCATCTATCCGATAACAAAATTTCCGTTGCTCGGAATGGAACCTTCCTTGAGAAGGAGTTTCTTTTTGTTATCACTAGTGGGAGAAAGGTAGACCTCGAAGAAAATCGAGAACTGCACAAGAAGAAGTCCTGATAGTGTTGGAACATGAGCAAAGAGATCAAGCAATTGAACCTCAAACTGCTCAAGATATACCAAGTAGGTCAGACCGGATACGTAATCCTCCGGTCAGATATGGACTTCTCATGTCTGATGAAGGTGACGTCTTGTTGGTAGATCAAGGCAAACTAAAGACCTACCTCGAGGCAATTACATGCCCCGAATCCGACCGATGGCTCGAAGCCATGAAATCTGAAATGGAGTCTATGTACACAAACAAAGTCTGGACCTTGGTTGATGCGCCCGAAGGGGTAAAATCCATTGGATGCAAGTGGGTCTTCAAAAAGAAGACAGACGTAGACGTGAAGGTTCATACCTTCAAAGCTAGATTGGTAGCAAAAGGTTATAGACAAATCCACGGAATTGACTATGATGAAACCTTTTCTCCAGTTGTTATGCTGAGTTGTTATAGACAAATCCACGGAATTATTTTCTATTCTTAAGTGCGTAAGTTACGTAATATATTGTCTAAGTGCCTATTATTATACGTGTAATGTTCATTTTGTGTTCGTTCTCTTTTTAATTTTCTATTCTTAAGTGCGTAAGTTACGTAAAAAAATTCAAAATTCCAACTCAGGACTCATGGTTTTAAAAGGCGAAAAAGGCGGTCCGCCCTGAGGCGGTAAGGCGTTGAGGCGGTAGTTTTTTGCCCGAGAGGCGTTCGCACCAGATGATTTCAGCGAGGCGTACGCCTTGATTTATTGAGGCGGTTCGAGGCGGTAAGGCGCTGAGGCGGAAACAAGGTGTTCGCCTTGAAATATAGTCCGTATAAGCCATATTCTGCCCTTTTGAATTAAAGTTATTGGGCCTTCAAATAAAAACTCTTTAAGTTCCAATTTTCCAATCGCACACCTGCGTGGCTGTCCAGCTTTCGATTCTCTCTCTTTCGCCGTCTCTCTCTTTCGCTCTGGCTTCCGGTCGTTTCTCTCTGGTCGCGGCTTTCCCTGTGCAATTTGGCTTCCTATTCTCGTTTCTCTCTTAAGGTACGAATTTATGATTTCTTGAAGATTTGTTTTAACTTTTTTTTACTCTGGTAATTTTATTTTCCAAAATTCCAGCAACTTGAATAATTTTAAGTTAGCCAATTTTAAGATTTTTCACTATTAAATTTTAAGATTTTTCATTGTTAAATTGTTTATATTATAATTTATAATTACTTTAAATTTGATCTTTTACATA